TCTGTGTTTCTTTGGGGGGGTCTTTTTGGGGCCCGGGGGGGGGGGGGGGTGGCAGGCAGAGTGGCATGGCAGCCCTGCACAATGTTTGCAGTGTTCCTGCCACCCCCTTTCCAGCCAGAGTATTCCTAATTGCTCCTAAGGGCCTTTATACATCTCCCCACCCAGCTCTTAGCAATTTGGGATGCTCTGGCTGGCGTCCCGTCCAGCTCCTAGCAACCAGTGACATCACTGGGCGGAATGCTGGCCAGAGCTGTGTGAAGAGATGATGCATAGGCCACAACCACCTAGCCCCCCCCCCATCCACCCTCACCAGCTCCCAATAAACAACCTCCCACTGCCGCCTCAGGTGGCTAAAAATGCCAGGGACGCACCTGACAAGGACAAAGCATGTCTGGCAAGGTTAACGTGTCATTTCTGTACTTGCTAAAAATGTTCTTAGCCAGAAAAAAACTTTTTGTTCTTGGGTTTTTTATCCTTTAACCACTTCTGCCGCCAGTGCTAACCACTGTGTCCTTATGCTGTAAATAAAACATTTTTAATAGGTTATTAATTATGGTAAAATGCCTACAAATGGTGCAAGCAATCAGTTTTAAAAAAAATGTAATTCATTATTTTTCTCTGTAATAGGATCTCAGAGGCGTCGGCTTATTCCAGCATTGTCACTTGATGCCACCTCTCCGGTTAGAAAGCCAGCCAACAGCCCTGGAGTTCGCTGGGTAGATGGACCTCTCTGTAATGGTCAACGAGGCCTAGGAGAACCATTTGAAATAAAGGTGTACGAGATAGATGATGTGGAGCGGCTCCAGCGGCGCCGTGGTGAAGACTGCAAGGTAAACTGTTGTTTGGAATTAAAGATGAAACATGGGGAAATGTATTCAGTGCAGGAGGCAGTAAAAAAATCAGAGTATTGTGCTCACAGTCTTCAATATACAGTTTGAAATGTCCTTTGGTGAGAACCCCTACCTTTAAATCTACAACATCCTCTTTGCTGGTTTACATGAGTGAGATTTTCCTGTAGCAATCCATGGGAATCGTATTCAACAGCAAAAATTATGCCAGGCTGGACCTGCAAGTAATGCTTTAGGGCCTTTAGAATGGCATATTGTAGGGTCAAGAACGTAGAGATATTTGATGGGAGATAACGTTAACATTGAATACTGTGAAATGAGCTTTGTGTTTTGGTACCTTCACTGGCCTTGCTTGCCACCCCGATGCACTGCCACTGCCTGTTTTAAAATCCCTGTACTTCTCAGTGTGGGTTTCCCCCTCCCACAGTGTGGTGCGTGTTGTCTGAGCAGCCACTGAACAGACCTCAGAGATGTCAAAAGGTGGCGGGGTTGTTCTAGCACTGTGGCGGTACCAACCATACTGGGAATTTTCCATCAATATTGTCTGCTTTTACTCAGTAGTTAAGGAACTGTTTTTGACAGAGACACAGTATAAAATTAATGACAGATATCGCAGAAAGATGTTACTTTATGTTATTAGTGAACTTACTTCAAACATGTCTTCCGTTTATTCATGTCCATTGCATGTTGGATTCATAGGAATATTAGTTTACATCATAAACAAGTTTCTTTATGCTCACAGAAAGCGATAAAGACGCCACATTTCTGGCAAGATCAAAAAGTATTTTCCTTACTTGTGGAACGTGTTCCTGGCCTAAAAAGGGAAAACCAATGCAGCCAGGTCACCCTGCAGCTGATCTTACCCCCCATTACTGACTTACCATGCCTTGATCTGCACTGTGTCCCTGTGTGGAGGCAGCCATCATGGTAGAGGAAGAGTTTTTGCTTCCTCGTGTCAAGAGAACAGTGAGCAGTAGAATAGTGACATCACCAAATCTCACTCCAAATCTCCCGTCAGAGGTAGCAGTGCCTTCGATCTCACACTCAAAATATACAACTATGTCTGTAGGCACAGGAGCATCTAGGCACCCTTACATACCAGGAAGTGCACTGATATTTTTCAGGAGGAAGTTAGGACAAAAGGTAGATCATTTAGTGTACTCCATTGCAACAATTACCAATTCTAAATGATCCCTATAGCATAGCAAATCTTTACTTTCTGCGTTCAGGACCGCTTTAAGGGTGAGCTGTATATTTTATGTTACAAATTTAACAGCATAATGTTTCCACGATGTTGAAGACAAATTTCCGAAGGACACAAATGAGGTATTTGCTACAAGTGATGAATCTCTTTCTATTAAGTAATCAAAAATGTCATGCATACCCGAGTGCTAAGGCTAAGTTAAATGTAAGATTTTTAATTGCTTAGCAGCATCAAAAATAACTCCTCATTTGCAACATGCTGAAATTATTTTGTTACTAAGTCAATTGTTAACAAGAAGTTCATTCTATAACAGTTATAACAGTTAGCTAATAATCATGCTTATATAATTCAGGCAGGAAATAAGCGTTGCAGCCGTACACTAGTATGCAATTATTGTAATTAAGTGACAGATGACGCATCTTCTTTTTTTTTATGAGTTTTTCCTATTCTACTATGACCCTATGAGTGTATATTACATAATACATAATATGTTAGCTACATTTTGAAATGTCGGTCTCTATTGGAAGAAAGGGTACCACTACCACTTACCGTATATTTACAGTATATATATATACACTGAGTGGCCAGATTATTATGACCACCCCATCAGTACTTCGTTGGGCCACGAGATGACTTTGTTGGGCCGCCTCGTGACTCCACGAGATGTTGAAAGGTGATGCGAGGAATCTGACACTGCACTGTTGCCCTTCTGTTGTCTTGTACCAGTCTTGCCACTCTCCGTTTTGCCCTAACATTGACTAGTCGCTGACGGCCACAATTCGCACGTTCAGACCCAGATTTTTGGCTGACAGTCCAGTCTTTAAACACTTTAACAACAGCTGCTCTTGAACATTTAACGAATTCTGCTGTTTTGCTGATACTCGCTCCATGGCTCCGAGCGCCAACAATCACCCCACGTTCAAAGGCTGTTAAATCGCGTTGTTTACCCATATCTTCCGGAAAAAAATCACTTCTACTGTCGTGGTAAACAACCTGCTTCCCAATTTATAATAGTCTGGCCCTCTAGCAACTTCAGCGCGACCGAAATTATAGCTAATTTGCCTACAAACGTCAGGTGGTCATAATAATCTGGCCACTCAGTGTATAT